CTGACCCCCACCCCTGAGCAGTGACCTTCTGGCCCCCCAGGCATTGCGTCCATGTTCGTGTCCTTCATGGTGGGCTTCTACTACAACACCATCATCGCCTGGGTCATGTGGTACTTCTTCAACTCCTTCCAGGACCCCCTGCCCTGGAGTGAGTGCCCGCTCAATGACAACCGGACAGGTGAGGCCCGGGGGAGGCCGGTGTGGGGTGGGGGACCGCCACTGGTTCTGCGGAGAGCTCCACCCTTGACCATGTGGGCTGACCGTCCACCAAGAGCCGCCCTCTGATTTTCCAAATTCCGGAGGGCTGTAGCTCAGGTTTGGCAAAAACCAGAGCGCATTTAACCCAACAGGGCATTAACAAAAAAGTCATATTGCAGTAGAAAAGCCCTTAAAAATGCTGGCTTCCCTCTCAGGAGGGGCCGCTGTTATGGAGGAAAGGGGGAGACCCGCCCACCTGGCCTCGCGGTGCAGGCAGCAGAAGCGGGGTTCCAGGTCACCAGCAGGGTGTGTGTGGGGTTTCCCTGAGAGCTGCTCCCCGACATTTCCGGGGCAGCATCCTGTTCCCCACTGGCCTTTCCCACCCAGCCCCCGGAGGCTCTGTCTGCAGAGAGCTCCCGCCCCTCATCATCTGCTCCTTCTGGGGGGCCCCCAGAGAAGGGGGGAGCAGACCCTGGGCTGTGGCCCATGGGGGCACGGAGCTGAGTGCTAGGCTGGGCCACTGGGCACGCAGCCCCATCAGGACGTGAACGGCCTGTGTTGTGAGTGTGGGTCCAACTAGCGGACAGTGGCCAGTGTGGTTTGCTGCACAGATCACACCAGATGTGCTGGGGTTGGGGCCGGCAGGATGGGCACCTCAGGGTCAGGAAAGGACAGGGCCCACCCCCATGGCCTCCCTCACTGCCCTGGGGACCATTCAGGACATAGTCCCTGACTCTGGGGATGGGGTGGGGGCCTTCCAGGACTAGACTGCTTCCCCCTTGGCAGGATGTCAGGCTGGCCTAGAAGGGCACCCAGGACCCTGGGAGCCACAGGGATGAGAACGTGTGAGTTCAAACACCATTGCCTGGGGTGGGCCCCAGCTGGGGAAACTTAGAGACCTGTGACCGGTGCATGGCAGAGCACCTGGCCCAGGGCAGACTCCCAGCTAAACCTGTGGGTCTCTTGTGTGCCTGCAGCAGGGGCAAGAGGGAGAAGGCAGGCAGTGGAGGCCTGGGGTGCACACCCACATGTGCACATGCATGAAGGTGTGCGTGTGCTCACACACATGTGCGAGTCGTTTGCATGTGTGTGCACACATGTGTGCCTGTGTTTGTGTGAATCCACACTGGGTGCGAGCATGTTCATGCGCGCGTGTGTGTGCGCACACGTATGCACATGGGTCTGCATGCAGGTGAACTCGCGTGTGCACATGTATGTGTAACGTGCACCGTGTGTGGGTGTGCATGTGCACACGGGTCTGCATGCATGTGCGCACACGTGTGCCTGTGTTGTGTGCATGCATGTGTGGGTGTGTGCGCGTGTGTACAGGTATGCACAGGCATGCTTGTGTGCACGGACACCCCTGTTGTCACCATCTCAAAGTACAGCTTGGGCCCGGGGCTCTCTGTCCCCCACCGCGGCTCACACTCTGTGACACGCTCTGATGTGTGCCAATGCCCGCCCCCAGGCTACGTGGAGGAGTGTGCCCGCAGCTCCTCGGTGGACTATTTCTGGTACCGGGAGACCCTCAACATCTCCACCTCGATCAGCGACTCTGGCTCTATCCAGTGGTGGATCCTGCTCTGCCTGACCTGCGCGTGGAGCGTCCTCTACGTGTGCACCATCCGCGGCATCGAGACCACCGGGAAGGTGCTCACGGGGGTGGGGGTGCCCTCAGCAGCTGTGAGGGGCCTGGTCCTGCATGCCCGCCGTCTGCGAGGGGCCTCTACTGCCCACACGCTCTTAAGCAGGAGCCCAAAAAGCCGTGGGCAAGTGGCACACGTGATCCCTAACCGGGAGGAGCAAGACAGCCACAGTTACAGACTGAAGGGTGGGGCGCGGAGAGCGGGCCCATCTCCCTGCCTGGAGCCTGGGGGCTGAGGGCACGTGGGGAGGGCGGGGCAGGGGTCCTATGCTATCGCCCCTTCTCCTTAAGAGCCTGGGGTTTCCCCGCCCGCCTGGCACTGCCTGCCCCTTTGTCCCACACTTGCCCTGTCCACAGGCCGTGTACATCACCTCAACGCTGCCCTATGTGGTCCTAACCATCTTCCTCATCCGCGGCCTGACGCTGAAGGGAGCCACCAAAGGCATCGTGTTCCTCTTCACGCCCAACGTGAGTCTCCCGAGGTCGGCCCAGGGCCCAGATGGCACAGGGGAGGCCAGGCTGGGGGACGGCCCCCCTGGGCCCCTTGTGGAGTGCAGGCAGGGCCTGTCTGCTCGACGGTGGCCGTGTGGACTGAGGGCGGCCACCACTGGGCGGTGCATCAGCTCCCACCTCCAGGGGCCATGCGTCCCAGTCCCCAGTCCTTTCGAGCATAGCTGAGGGTCTCTGTCTGGCTGCAGGTCACGGAGCTGGCCAACCCAGTCACCTGGCTGGACGCGGGGGCTCAGGTCTTCTACTCCTTCTCGCTGGCCTTTGGGGGCCTCATCTCCTTCTCCAGCTACAACTCTGTGCAGTGAGTGTGGGGGGACCTTCGCCCCGCCTGCCCTGTGCCTCGGCCTCCCTACCACGAGGGGTGGGTGAACAAAGGAAGGCGTGCAGGTGACCCTGCTGACCCGGGGTCCCTGCGGGGCTGTGGCCACAGGGTGCAAAGAGGCGGGCTGATGCCTTGGGAGGGCTTTCATGAGCGAGGGACCCCCCAGGGAGACCCATTTACGACCCGGCCTCCCCTGGGCGCCTCCGTCCCAGCGATCGCGAGCCCTGGTGTTGACCCCCCCCACACTCCCCATCACGCCTGCTCACCCAGGACCCCAGGAGCGCCCGCCCCTGCCGCCCACCCTGGACTGGCACCCACGTGAAAGGGGCCCAAACCGCGAGGGCCCCCAGGGCCTCCACGGACATAGCTAGTGTCACTTCATCTCCACAAGCGTTAATGGGGCACCTGCTTGTGCCCCAGCTGGTGCCCCGGGACCGTGTTGCTGGGACCCGTGGTCCAGCAGAGAGTCCGACGAGCCGCGTGAGCGGACACGGAAGGCGTGGGGCCGGGCGGGACAGGAGGCAGCCGGGGACGGACTGACAGCAGGTGCTCCCCACAGGGGCCGAGGGCCCGCTCAGCGCACACCAGCTGCTGGTGCAGCCCTGCTCCCAGCCTGGTGGCAGCACCGCACGAGGCCCAGAGCGCGCCCCAGGGGCCCCGTCCCACGCTGCCACCGCCCGCTCCCTCTCCGGGCGGACTCGCCTCCTCTGGACGGCCGGGAGGGGTCCTCAGCGTCCTGCTCCGTCCCTGAGCACGAGGTCCTCGTGTCCAGCCCTGCCGCGGCCTGTGTCGGGCGTCCTGCCTTTCACGGCCAAGCGGTACCCGGGCGTGGACGGGCCGCGCTGTGTTTGCCCGCCTGCCCCACGACGGACACGCGAGCTGTGTCCACCTTCCGGCAGTCGCGAACATTTGTGTCGAGCTTCGGCGCAGACATGCCTTCACCGCCCGCGGCCCACACAGGGGCGGGCCTGCTCCGGGTGAAGGGCTCGAGGGGGTGTTTTCCAGGGAGGCCACCCCATTTCAGGTCCCCCCAGCCGGGCAGCAGCGCCCGATCCCTGCTCACCCTCGCCAACACTTGTCATCTGACTCTGCCGCCGGCCTCCGGAAGCATCCAGAAGGAGGATGTTGGCCTCGGGTGGTGGTGGGGCGGTCGGGGCGGTGTTCTCGACACGCCGAGCTGGGGGGGCTTCAGGCGTCCAGGTGGAGATGGGGGGCCCTGGCCCAGCCACCTCCTGGAAGCCTCACGACCCGGGGAGGGTCTCCAGGGCCAGCGCTGCAGGGGGCCTGGGTAGGTGGCGGGAAGGGCAGAGCGGGGTGGGCTGTGGGCCGGCTGTGCCCCCCGTGGCTGTGGCCTCCTCGCTGGGCCAGTGGCTCGGCCTCGGGAGCCCCGTGCCCGTCCTCGCTGGGCGCTGACTCGGGCCAGTGGGCGTGCCCGGCCAGCAGTGACCGGACACCCTCTCACGGCAGCAACAACTGCGAGAAGGACTCGGTGATCGTGTCGATCATCAACGGCTTCACGTCCGTGTATGCGGCCACCGTGGTCTACTCCATCATCGGCTTCCGCGCCACCGAGCGCTTTGACGACTGTTTCAGCACGTAGGTGGCCCGCCTGCCCTGGGAGCTTGCACATCACCTCCAGGGAGCCCACCGGGCCTGCAGCCAGCCTCTCTGTCTTTCCAGGAACATCCTGACGCTCATGAACGGGTTCGACCTGCCCGAGGGCAACGTGACTCAGGAGAACTTCGAGGAGATGAAGCTTTGGTTCAGCACCACCAACCCTGAGGCCTTCTCAAAGCTGCACTTCCAGACCTGCGACATGAACACCTTCCTCTCGGAGGTCCGGCCTCTGGGTGGTGCTCCTGTGATTCGGGAGCTGGGGGTGGGGGCGAAGGACTCCTTGGGAGGGCGCCGAGCTTCCCCCGCGAGCCAGGGGTCCTGGGAGTCGCAGAGCCTGCGTCCAGGGCCTGGTGCCAAGGCAGGGACCCGGGGCCACGCGGGCCTGGCCTCCTGCAGTGCCTGGTGCGAGACAGGCCAACACCCCATGTCCACGAGGACCAGGATGCCTCCCACAAACACGCAGAGTCGTCCTAACCAAGCTCCCCACTCGCTTCACTCTGCTGGCTCCTAGTCCTTCGTGCTGGCTGACGTTTCTCGGCGGTCACAGTGCAGAGGACCACGTAGCTGCAAACCGTCCTCTGATACTCGAACGTCTAAATGCCAAGCGCAATGAGGAGCGATGCTTGCATGCTGTTGTGATTTATGGGCCAACATTTACTAATTTTAATTTTGCAATGTTCTTCTTTGGAGCCACACAATATTCGGGGGCATGTCCCACATTTTTGGGGCCTGGCACTGTGTCCCAGTGGTGTCAGGCCCTGCAGGAGCGAGGTGTGGGGAGGGCGAGCAGAGGGCCCCCTCGCCCAGTCTATCCCCCGATGCGTGCAGGACGAGGGGCAGGGGGTCCCAGGGCAGCAGAGACTCTGAATTCCTTCTCTTCTGGAAGCGAGCTAACAGAGGAGTCAGTGCTCAGTGCAGGTGCCGAGCATCACCAGGGCACTGAGTCCTGACCCCCCACGCCGGCCCTGGCCCGGGCCACCAGGCTGGCTGGCCTCTCCTGGTCACCTTGCGGCTCACCTCCCCCTCCTCCTCCGTCCACGTGGGCGCGTGATGCTCCTCTGTGCGGGTGCTCGGAGGCCGTTCACTGCAATCTCCCAAACTCCTCGCTTGGCCCCCCAGGGGCCCATTTTCCCCCGAACTCATGCAAATGCTGTGGGGTGGCTTTGGGGCCCCTGACTTGGGAGCGAGTCCCGGGGACAGGAGCGGATGTCCTGCAGGGAGCGCTGGGCCCGGGGCCCCTAACTTAGCCCCTCAGCCCCACAGGAAACACTCAAGAGGGAGGGGCCGCAGCAGGGGTCTCGCGGACCCGTGAGGCCAGACGCAGGGCCACAGGCTCAGCCAGGGCCCCGCATGGGGCCCTTGTGCTTCTGCACCTGCTGCGGCTGCTCCCGCCGGGCCCACTGGCCGCAGCTCTGGCATCCACTCAAGGGCACTTGCTCAGGCCTCGTGGAGGTCACCCCACCTTCCGAGCCGAGTGTGCGGCAAGCGTCTCAGGAAGCATCAGGGAGGAGACAGTGTCCGTGTCTGGGCAGCACGGGGCCCTGACTGCCGCTGGACAGTGGGGCCACTTCCCAGTCGTCAAACTAGTTCAGCTTTTAAAAATACAGTTGGGCCTGAAGGACAAGTTCTGGTCATCTCCCCAAATGGCTCAGATCAGACTTCTGCTTGCATGGTGGGGGCTCGGTGGGTGGGGAGCTGTCCAGGGAGGGACAGGGACGGGGAGGGGTCCTCGGGGAGCGTGCACCTTCGTGACGCCCCTGCCCCCACCCCTGCAGGGCGTGGAGGGCACCGGGTTGGCCTTCATCGTCTTCACGGAGGCCATCACCAAGATGCCCGTGTCCCCGCTGTGGTCCGTGCTCTTCTTCATCATGCTCTTCTGCCTGGGCCTGTCGTCCATGTTTGGGAACATGGAGGGCGTGGTCGTGCCCCTGCAGGACCTCAACATCATCCCTAAGAAGTGGCCCAAAGAGCTGCTCACAGGTATGCGGGGCCGGGGCCGCAAGGACAACCCCCAGGGGGCGGCCGGGTGCGGGCGCAGGGCCTCGGGCTGCAGTGGCAGTGCTCTCTGCCCCGCAGGCCTCATCTGCCTGGGGACGTACCTGCTCGCCTTCATCTTCACCCTGAACTCTGGCCAGTACTGGCTGTCCCTGCTGGACAGCTATGCCGGTTCCATCCCGCTGCTCGTCATCGCCTTCTGCGAAATGTTTGCGGTCGTCTATGTGTACGGCGTGGACAGGTAGGAAGGAGGCTGCAGCGGCAGGAGGCTCCCGACAGGGGCAAGCAGGGTGGCACTCAGGGACAAGCGCGCCGTGATACGGGGCCGCGTGCGCACTGGGCCTGGCTCCTGCGCCGCTGAGGGCAGAGGGTTGGGTCCCGGACTGATGCCCGCCAGAGCAGTCCGAACGGTGCTCCCTCCAGCTTCCCGAAGCTTCCAGACCCGGCAGACATGGGCACTCACGGGCCGTGCAGTCTTAGGGGTGGGAGGAGAGCAAACAGCAACCACGAAGGAAAGTACAGACCCCCTGGTCTGACCACAGGATTTAGAAAGTCGTAACCCAAGACGAGGAGGTGAAGCACTATTGCGTCCCACACGGGCGGCCTGAGACGCAGGAACATGGGACCAGGAGGGGCAGAGCGGTCCCAGGGGCTGGGGTGCGGGCAGCGGACGTGAGGGCCGGGCATGGACAGGGCAGGGGCTCCTGCTGCGGGGATCAAGGCTGCCCCGTGGGGCCCCGGGGAGGCCACCAGCCCTGGGGGAGGGGAGATCGGCCAGGGAGGCTGGGACGGGGCTGCCAGTCGGGCTGCCCTCCACCCCCAGCAGCACGGACCCTGGCTCTGCGTGAGCCCCCGGGGCGAGTTGACAGGCTGGTGGCACCGTGGGGCAGCAGAGGGTGCCGCCGGCCTCCCGAGCCGGCTTCTGACGCAAACCAGGCTCTTCTGGAGGCGGCGGGTCTCCGGTCAGAGAAAGACTGGGCTGTGGCACCGTGGACGGTGATATCTGTCTGGGCTGGACGGCCAGCTACCCTCTGCCTTGACAGGATCACAGGCCTATCAACGCCCCCGGTGATGGCCTCCTTCCTGCCCTGTGTCCAGGTTCAACAGAGACATTGAGTTCATGATTGGCCACAAGCCCAACATCTTCTGGCAAGTCACGTGGAGAGTGATCAGCCCACTGCTCATGCTGGTCATCTTCCTGTTTTTCTTCGTGGTCAAGGTCAAAGAGGAGCTGATATACAGCGTCTGGGACCCTGCCTATGTGAGCCATGGGGCTGCTGCGGAGGGGCAGTGGGGCATTGTGCTCCCTGCGGGGTTGGGGACCCTGGGGTGTCCTTCCCCTCCCCCACAAGGGCCAGGCGGTGACCCACAGGGGAGGGGCATCTGCCTGAGGGAGACCCCGCAGGCTGCATACGTAGCTGCTCACCACCGTTCTCTCCCCAGGAGGAATTTCCCAAATCCCAGAAGGTCACCTACCCGGGCTGGGTGTACGCTGTGGTCGTCATCGTGGCTGGGATGCCCTGCCTGGCCATCCCCGGCTTTGCCATCTACAAGCTCCTCAGGGACTGCTGCCAGAGGCCAGGGGACCGCCAGGGGCTGGTCAGCGGGCCGTCCACGGCCTCCATCAACGGGGACCTGAAGTCCTGAGCGGCCCGGCCCAGCACGTGTCAGGGAGGATCTGGGCCATACGTGTGAGTGTGTGCATGTGTGGGTGTGTATGTTGTGCAAGCGCTTGCATGCGTATGTGTATATACATGCGTGGGGGTGTGTGCGCACATGTGAGTGTATGCACGTGTGTTTATGTATACTGTTTGTGCACACGCGAGTGCATACATGTGCGAGCGTGTACATACGTGAACGCACGTGTGTATGTGTGCAGTGTGAGTGTGTGTACGTGTGTATGTGTGCACGTGAGTGTGCACTGCGTAAGTGTGTATGAATGTGCGTGTGCTCACGTGTGTAAGCATGTGTGTGCACTGCGTAAGTGTGTATGCGTGCGCGTGTGCACACGTGTGTATGTGTGTACTGCGTGTGTATGTGCGCGCACACGTGTGTAAGTATGTGTGCACTGCATAAGTGTATATGTGTGTGCGTGCGTGTGTGCACTGCGTGTGTGTACGTGTGCAAGTGTGTATGCGTGTGAGCGTACGGAAGCATGTGTGTGTGCATGTGTGTGCTCATGTCCGAGGATGTGTGCACACATGCACGAGGACTCGGTGGGCGTGTGCATACATGTGCGGTGTGCATGACTGTGGTGTGTGTGTTGTATAGACATGTTGGGTGCCTGTGTGTTTGTGCACACATGTCTGCACACAGCCCCGGTGCCCTGCTGCTTGCCCTTGTCACGGGCGTGGTGGGGGCCACAGCAGCCTGGGTCCTGCCACGCCCGCACACGCCGGGGGACGGTCACAGCCGCGGCGTAGTGGGGAGCCCGGCCCGCGGGAGGCGGGAGCGTGATGCTCCCTTGGCCCCTCAGATCCAGTCTGATCGCCACCTGCCCTTCGCCTTGCTGTTAACCCTTGACTCAGGAGCTCACAGTAAGGTCGGGGCCCTGGTGCCCACGATGAGGACTGGCCTTTTCGAGCCCCTAGGCCGTGAGCTGTGGAAGACTCTGCGGCGTCCCTCTGAGGCCCGGCCGCCCGCCTGCTGGCCTTGGCGGGATGCCGGCTCAGTGGGAGCCAACCCGATTAATCATTGCTTCTGGCCGCTGCGATGAGCAGTTAGACAAAACTCAGCTCAGCCTAAGTTAAGGCGGAAACCACCCTTTGAGTTTTCTTAAGAGGGCATATTCACTGCATGAATTGTTAGCTAGGTGTTGGAGAAGGCAGGTTATAGGGTAACTCGGCCACAGCCACCAAGGTCAAGGACAATCCGTGCGTCCCGAGCATGGCAGGGATCCGGAAGCCCATCCACTCGGCGCCCCTCGGTGAAGGGTTGTTTACCGGGATTCGACAATCTCGGCCAAGTCACTTGGCACATGGGGTGGTTATTTTAATGAGCTCACGTCCACTCTCCATGGAAAAATCTGGAAGTTTACATTGAACTGGACTTTCTGAGCATCTGCTGGGCAGGGGTGGGGACCTGGGTGGAGGGTGGATCCCGGAGCCATGTCCCCCCTACTCAGATGCCCGAGGGCCCTGTCCCCATCCCACTGCCTCCTGTCCCACGGTGACACAGAGTTCAGCCCTGCAGCCCCACACTGAACCTTCAACACCGGTATGTCCAGTCCTCTTATGCCGCCGGTCACCTAGATGCCATGACCTACAGAAACCTCAGGGGGCTCCCAGCCCACCATGCAGGGCCATGATGGCATGTACCTGCCGGGGGCCCCCCGTCCCACCCCACTCCAACCTCCACCCTCCTCTGAAAGCTTTCCCACCCCCACTAAGAGAACACTGAGCAGCCCCCCATGGATACACCACACCATCCTGGGCACGTGGGGAGGAGACTGGCGGGTGTGGCCCAGGGGGACTCATCCAGTCCTTCTGTCCCCTGACGGGCGCCTTGTTTTGCAGATGTGGCATATTTGCAAGTTGTTGGAAATGCGTGATTTGTAGGCATAATGTGTACCTGTCTTAATAAATCACTATTTCATAGTCTTGTCCTAAATGTTGTCTAAATGCAGAGGGATGAGCAAACAGCGGGGCCCCACTCAGGGCATCGCGGGACCGCGGTTCTGGTTGGGGGGGGATGATTTTCTCTGGAGAAGTCATGACGCCAAGTGGCTGTGTCCGCGGAGCCCTGGGCATGGCGTGTGGCCCTGCGAAGGGCAGGTGGTGGGCAGGCCTTGGGCTCGGGACCGTGGTGCCCTGGTGAGGTCAGGTTGGCTGGGCTGGGGGCCACACTCCTGCCCTCCCAGCCTTCCCCCTCCCTTTCTCACATTCCCTCCCCACCAATAGAGTCAGTGGGAGTGTGTCCACCAGGACCCACACCTCTGCGACCCACATATGTGGGCCTGTGTGAGACCAGCGTCCCGGGAAGTAGGAATTTCCCATCTGGAGCCCCAGCCTGTCCTAGAAGCATCCACCGGGCATCCACGGGTCCAGGAGCCCCACGGGAGACCCAGGCTGAGTCCACCGAGTCAGCCCATCGTGCTTCATCCCACCGCAGGAGGAGCCCATGCGGAGGGGACCATTCGGACGTCCCCCAGCCTGGCTGAGCTCCCCACCGCCGTGGCCCTGGATGTCACGCTGTCCCACCCGCTGCCTCAGGGTATCAGTGGCTGCTGGGGGGGAAGAGAGGAAGCCCTCCCACTTCTGCCCCTGCCCCGCCCCACCAGGGGAGCCCCTCTGGGACACAGGCCCCCGCCCTGCACAGGGTGGGTGCTGGTGGGGGCTGGGCTGAGTGTCACCACTGCAGATGCCGCAGGATGCAGGGGTGAGGGGGGATCTCCCCAGAAGAGAGTGCCACCGGCCGGAGGGTCACACTCAATCTCTGAAGACCAAACGTGGCTGAGACACGAACACCCACACCCCAGCGCACCGGGTCCCTCCCCAGGCACTAGCTGTCCTCCGCTGTGGGGTGAACACACTGTGTGCCTCCACGGCTGGGTCACTGGGGAACACGGCTGAGAGGAGCAGGCCCACCTGAGGTCACACACGGGGACTCTGCTTACGGAACGTTCTAGAAAGGACAGAGGGGTAGCGACGGAGAACAGATGGGACGCGGGCGGGGCAGGAGGGGCAGGAGCTGAGGGGGCGGGTGTGGCCATGAAGGGGACAGGAGGGACCCTCCCTGCGATGGACATGTGCCGAACTGGCCAATCACCCCGGCATCCCTGCTGTGACATGGCCGAGATATTTGCAAGACGCCGCTGCGGGAACGGGCGAGGACGCAGGGCTCTGCGTCACTCCTCACAGCGACAGGGGAGTCTACAATTGTCCCAGAATCAGAAGGTTGATTAGAAGATCAATGGTTTTTATAAAAGAGCTAAACGAGCTGCGGTCTTAGGAGTCCTGGCGCGTCCCCCCCGGGGAACAGGAGGCCCCCGGCCGTCTGCCTCGGGCATGAAATGAGGTGCGGGCAGAGGACGTGGGGTCAGGAAGGGACCGCCCGGGGGAGAGCAAGAGCCTGGCCCGAGTTATCAATTAACTGGCTCCACTGGTTTTCCTTTAAATAATGAGAAGGTACACGGAGGGGACTACTCGGGGCTCCCACACGGAGGTCCAGGGGGTTCCATGGAGCCCGGGCAGGAGCCAGCGGTGGGCATGGCGTGCGCCGGGGGAGCGGAGCCGCGTGGGGACGGCCACGGGGACGAGAGGCCGGCGTGGGACAACAAGGTGCAGTACCTGCTGAGCTGCATCGGCTTCGCCGTGGGCCTGGGTAACATCTGGAGGTTTCCGTACCTGTGTCAGACCTATGGTGGAGGTGAGCCACCCCCACGGCCCTGTGCGTTATCGATCCCCGCGACCCGGGGAGCCTGTGTAGTGGAGGTCCAGCCCACTGCCGTCCGGCCTTCTGGGGCTCAGGGGAGCTCTTCACCGCAGTTTGTGGGGTGCTCCCGGGCCAGGCCGCCTACCCCCCGTCTGTGCCCGGTCAGGGCACCCCCTCCCTTCACAAGAGTCCATGGTGGTGCCTGGCAAGCCAGCCCCACCCGTCGCCTGCGACCCTGGGGAGGGGACACCGAATGTCACCCGGGCTAGGCCGGTCCTTTTCTGGGGTGCGACCTTGGGGCCCGTTGGGTCTCAGTGTCAGGTCAGCTTGCCGTCAAGCCCCCGCTCTGTACACGTAAGACCCGAGGCCCCCAGAAGCCCTCCAGGGCAATCCTGCATCCACCGGGCCCCTGGCTGGAAATGTGGGGGCGATTCCTCTGGCTCCCACCAGGAACAGGGCAGAAACGAAGGTCTGTGTGTGGCTGATGGGGCGTCATCCTGGCCCCTTTCCCTCCTGGCCGTGCTGGGTGGACAGCGGTCAGGCCGCGTCAGGGGAGTGCGGGCTGGGGGTCTGCGGGACCTGCTGTAGAGCAGACCAGGCGAGAGCAGCGCCGGGGTGGCGTCCCTGTTCATGAGGAACGTGCTTCCTGGAAGTTTGTTGTTTTTTCCTGATTATAAGCAGCTGGAGGAGACGTCTCTCCAGGAACCGCTGCCCAGAGGCGTCAGAGCCCCCACGGGGTTGGGGCTGGGCGGGCACGTGGGCCTGGGTTGCTCCCCGGGCCCCCAAGCTGCCCTGTGCATCAGGAGAGGCATGTGCGGGCGCCAAGCGGTGGCCCGCGTGCTGGTGGTCACTCCAGGTCAGGAAAGGCTGCTCTGACCGGAGCCGGTTGGCTATCGTTCCTCGCTGCAATGCGCCGGGACTGTCCCGGGAACGTCACTTCCAGAACCCATGTGCCGGCGCTGCCTGGCCCGAGGGCCTCCGGACCAGCCCGTCACACCTGTGCTCATGGGCTGGGGGGACCCCTGCTGTTTAAATACTTCTTTTAGGCCCTGTTTCCAGGTGTGAAGCCCTTCATGAAATGTCATGAAATAGTCAAGTTTCAAAACTCACACTTTTCCTAAACAAGCACCCCTCACCTGCGAGAACAACCTTTTTGTCTCACGTCGACCACCCCTGATTATTCGATAACAAGATGAGCAGATAACCGATTGCATTTTTATTCTGCACAAACTCATGACCCTGACGGTGAATATTCTCTCTGTACTTAGTGATTA